TCCAATTTCCTCATTTTTCGCCCGATTTCCATTCAGATTTCTTTCCCTCTCGAGGCCACGCCCCTTCCGGCCACGCCCCGCATGCCACGCCCACTCAGACCACGCCCCCAAACACAAACCCCGCCTTTTCCTGTTAAAAAAACCTTATAATTTCCCTTAATTTTCCCATTTTTCGCCCGATTTCCACCCGGATTTTTTTCCCTCCTGAGGCCACGCCCCCTCTCGGGCTCCGCCCACATGAGGCTCCGCCCCCAGAGCTATAAAACCCCTTTAATTTCCCCATTTCCCATCCAAATTTCTTTTGATTTCCTCATTTTTCGCCCGATTTCCATTCAGATTTTTTCCCTCTCGAGGCCACGCCCCTTCCGGCCACGCCCCGCATGCCACGCCCACTCAGACCACGCCCCCAAACACAAACCCCGCCTTTTCCTGTTAAAAAAACCTTATAATTTCCCTTAATTTTCCCATTTTTCGCCCGATTTCCACCCGGATTTTTTCCCCCCCATCGAGGCCACGCCCCTTCCGGCCACGCCCACTCACGCGCTGTCGGGGGGCGGGGCGGCGGCCGCCACCTTGCGGTAGCAGTAGAGCATCTCGGCGGCGAGCCAGAGCGTGAGGACCACGATGAGAACGTACATGAGGATCTCGGAGACGATGGACGCCAGGTCACGGCGCGCTGGGGGCGGAGAGAGAGAGAGGGAGGGAGAGGAATTCCTGGGATTCCCGGGGGAAAAAAATTCCACAGGGGAAAAAAATCCCGGGAAAAATCCCGGGGGAAAAAAATGCTGGGGGAATCCAGGGGAAAAATCCTGGGGAAAAAATCCTGGGAAAAATCCAAGGGGAAAAAATCCTGGGAAAAATCCAAGGGGAAAAATTCCAAGGGAAAAATCCCAGGGGAAAAAATCCTGGGGAATTTCAGGGAAAAAAATCCCGGGAAAAATCCAAGGGGAAAAATCCAAGGGGAAAAATTCCTGGGAAAAAATCCCGGGAAAAATCCACGGGGAAAAATCCCAGGGGAAAAAATTCTGGGGGAATTCCCAGGGAAAAAATCCCGGGAAAAATCCACGGGGAAAAATCCAAGGGGAAAAATTCCTGGGAAAAAATTATGGGTGAAAAAAATCCCGGGAAAAATCCACGGGGAAAAAATCCTGGGGGAATCCAGGGGAAAAATCCTGGGGAAAAAATTCTGGGGGAATTCCCAGGGAAAAAATCCCGGGAAAAATCCAAGGGGAAAAATCCAAGGGGAAAAATTCCAGGGAAAAAATTATGGGTGAAAAAAATCCTGGGAAAAATCCACAGGGAAAAAATCCTGGGGGAAAAAATTCTGGGGGAATTCCCAGGGAAAAAATCCCGGGAAAAATCCAAGGGGAAAAAATATCCATGGGAAAAAATCCTGGGAAAAATCCAAGGGGAAAAAATCCTGGGGGAATTTCAGGGAAAAAATCCCAGGAAAAATCCAAGGGGAAAAAATATCCATGGGAAAAAATCCTGGGGGAATTCCCAGGGAAAAAATCCCGGGAAAAATCCAAGGGGAAAAATCCAAGGGGAAAAATTCCTGGGAAAAAATTATGGGTGAAAAAAATCCCGGGAAAAATCCACGGGGAAAAAATCCTGGGGGAAAAAATTCTGGGGGAATTTTGGGGACAAAATCCCGGGAAAAATCCAAGAGGAAAAAATATCCATGGGAAAAAATCCTGGGGGAATTTCGGGGAAAAATCCACGGGGAAAAATCCAAGGGGAAAAATCCAAGGGGGAAAAAATCCTGGGAAAAATCCAAGGGGAAAAAATCCTGGGGGAATTTCAGGGAAAAAATCCCAGGAAAAATCCAAGGGGAAAAATTCCAGGGGAAAAATTCCAGGGGGAAAAAATCCTGGGGAATTTCAGGGAAAAAATCCTGGGGGAAAAAATCCCAGGGGAAAAATCCTGGGAAAAATCCAGGGAAAAATCTCCCAGTCCATCCCAGTCCATCCCAGTCACTCCCAGTCCATCCCAGTACATCCCAGTACCTTTCTCCACCACGGCCAGCCGCAGGCTCTGGTTCCTGGCCAGGCTGTAGGTGTCACCTGTCCCATCCCAGTGACTCCCAGTGCCTCCCAGTCCATCCCAGTCCATCCCAGTCCATCCCAGTCCATCCCAGTCCCCTCCCAGTATATCCCAGTGCCTCCCAGTACCTTTCTCCACCACGGCCAGCCGCAGGCTCTGGTTCCTGGCCAGGCTGTAGGTGTAGCCCTCGAAGGTCAGGTTGCGCCGCAGGCCGCACACGTAGGCGCCGGCGTGTTCGCGCTGCACCGAGCGCAGCCACAGCGACAAATCCTGCAGGTCCCGCGTGCCCCGCGAGCCGTTCCAGGCCAGCAGCCCCTGGAAGGGGCCAGGAGCCACCCACTCGCCCTCCTCGGGGCTGTAGTGAAGGATCTGAGAGGGGAAAACCAGTATGAACCAGTATAGACCAGTATAAACCAGTATGGAACACTATAGACCAGTATAGACCAGTATGGACCAGTATAGACCAACATAGACCCATATAAATCAATGTAAACTGGTATAAACCAGTATAAACCAGTATAAACTGGTATAAACCAGTATAAACCAGTATAAACCAGTACTGGTTACTGGGCCACTCGCTCTCCTCAGGGCTGTAGTGAAGGATCTGAGAGGGGAAAACCAGTATGAACCAGTATAGACCAGTATAAACCAGTATGGACCAGTATAGACCCATATAAATCAATGTAAACTGGTATAAACCAGTATAAACCAGTATAAACCAGTATTGGTTATTGGGCCACTCGCCCTCCTCGGGGCTGTAGTGAAGGATCTGAGAGAGGAAAACCAGTATGAACCAGTATAGACCAGTATAGACCAGTATGGACCAGTATAGACCAACATAGACCCATATAAATCAATGTAAACTGGTATAAACCAGTATAAACCAGTATAAACCAGTATAAACCAGTATAAACCAGTATGGACCAGTACTGGTTACTGGGCCACTCGCCCTCCTCGGGGCTGTAGTGAAGGATCTGAGAGGGGAAAACCAGTATAAACCAGTATGAACCAGTATAAACCAGTATAAACCAGTATAGACCAACACAGACCCATATAAATCAATGTAAACTGGTATAAACCAGTGTAAACCAGTATAAACCAGTATGGACCAGTATTGGTTATTGGGCCACTCGCCCTCCTCGGGGCTGTAGTGAAGGATCTGAGAGGGGAAAACCAGTATGAACCAGTATAGACCAGTATGGACCAGTATGAACCAGTATGGACCAGTATAAACCAATATAGACCCATATAAATCAATGTAAACTGGTATAAACCAGTATAAACCAGTTTGGACCAGTATGAACCAGTATTGGTTATTGGGCCACTCGCCCTCCTCGGGGCTGTAGTGAAGGATCTGAGATGGGAAAACCAGTATGAACCAGTATAGACCAGTATAGACCAGTATGGACCAGTATAAACCAATATAGACCCATATAAATCAATGTAAACTGGTATAAACCAGTATAAACCAGTATAAACCAGTATGGACCAGTACTGGTTGCTGGGCCACTCGCTCTCCTCAGGGCTGTAGTGAAGGATCTGAGAGGGGAAAACCAGTATAAACCAGTATGAACCAGTATAAACCAGTATAAACCAGTATAGACCAACACAGACCCATATAAATCAATGTAAACTGGTATAAACCAGTATAAACCAGTGTAAACCAGTATAAACCAGTATGGACCAGTATTGGTTATTGGGCCACTCGCCCTCCTCGGGGCTGTAGTGAAGGATCTGAGATGGGAAAACCAGTATGAACCAGTATAGACCAGTATAGACCAGTATGGACCAGTATAAACCAATATAGACCCATATAAATCAATGTAAACTGGTATAAACCAGTATAAACCAGTTTGGACCAGTATGAACCAGTATTGGTTATTGGGCCACTCGCCCTCCTCGGGGCTGTAGTGAAGGATCTGAGAGGGGAAAACCAGTATGAACCAGTATAGACCAGTATAAACCAGTATGGAACACTATAGACCAGTATAGACCAGTATGGACCAGTATAGACCAACATAGACCCATATAAATCAATGTAAACTGGTATAAACCAGTATAAACCAGTATAAACCAGTATAAACCAGTATAAACCAGTATAAACCAGTATAAACCAGTATAAACCAGTATGGACCAGTATTGGTTACTGGGCCACTCGCCCTCCTCGGGGCTGTAGTGAAGGATCTGAGAGGGGAAAACCAGTATGAACCAGTATAGACCAGTATAAACCAGTATGGAACACTATAGACCAGTATAGACCAGTATGGACCAGTATAGACCAACATAGACCCATATAAATCAATGTAAACTGGTATAAACCAGTATAAACCAGTATAAACCAGTACTGGTTACTGGGCCACTCGCCCTCCTCGGGGCTGTAGTGAAGGATCTGAGAGGGGAAAACCAGTATGAACCAGTATAAACCAGTATGGACCAGTATAGACCCATATAAATCGATATAAACCAGTATGGAACGCTATAAACCAGTATGGACCAGTATAGACCAGTACTGGTTACTGGGCCACTCGCCCTCCTCGGGGCTGTAGTGAAGGATCTGAGAGGGGAAAACCAGTATGAACCAGTATAGACCAGTATAGACCAGTATGGACCAGTATAGACCAGTATAGACCAGTATGGACCAGTATAAACCAACATAGACCCATATAAATCAATATAAACTGGTATAAACCAGTATAAACCAGTATAAACCAGTATGGACCAGTATGAACCAGTATTGGTTATTGGGCCACTCGCCCTCCTCGGGGCTGTAGTGAAGGATCTGAGAGGGGAAAACCAGTATGAACCAGTATAAACCAGTATGGACCAGTATAGACCAACATAGACCCATATAAATCAATGTAAACTGGTATAAACCAGTATAAACCAGTATAAACCAGTACTGGTTACTGGGCCACTCGCTCTCCTCGGGGCTGTAGTGAAGGATCTGAGAGGGGAAAACCAGTATGAACCAGTATAGACCAGTATGGACCAGTATAGACCAATATAGACCCATATAAATCAATGTAAACTGGTATAAACCAGTATAAACCAGTATGGACCAGTACTGGTTACTGGGCCACTCGCCCTCCTCGGGGCTGTAGTGAAGGATCTGAGAGGGGAAAACCAGTATGAACCAGTATAGACCAGTATAAACCAGTATAAACCAGTATAGACCAACACAGACCCATATAAATCAATGTAAACTGGTATAAACCAGTATAAACCAGTGTAAACCAGTATAAACCAGTATGGACCAGTATTGGTTATTGGGCCACTCGCCCTCCTCGGGGCTGTAGTGAAGGATCTGAGAGGGGAAAACCAGTATGAACCAGTATAGACCAGTATGGACCAGTATAGACCCATATAAATCGATATAAACCAGTATGGAACGCTATAAACCAGTATGGACCAGTATTGGTTACTGGGCCACTCGCCCTCCTCGGGGCTGTAGTGAAGGATCTGAGAGGGGAAAACCAGTATGAACCAGTATAAACCAGTATGGACCAGTATAGACCAATATAGACCCATATAAATCAATGTAAACTGGTATAAACCAGTATAAACCAGTATAAACCAGTACTGGTTACTGGGCCACTCGCTCTCCTCGGGGCTGTAGTGAAGGATCTGAGAGGGGAAAACCAGTATGAACCAGTATAAACCAGTATGGACCAGTATAGACCCATATAAATCAATGTAAACTGGTATAAACCAGTATAAACCAGTATAAACCAGTATTGGTTGCTGGGCCACTCGCCCTCCTCGGGGCTGTAGTGAAGGATCTGAGAGGGGAAAACCAGTATGAACCAGTATAAACCAGTATGGACCAGTATAGACCAGTATAGACCAACATAGACCCATATAAATCAATGTAAACTGGTATAAACCAGTATAAACCAGTATAAACCAGTATTGGTTACTGGGCCACTCGCCCTCCTCGGGGCTGTAGTGAAGGATCTGAGAGGGGAAAACCAGTATGAACCAGTATAAACCAGTATGGACCAGTATGAACCAGTATGAACCAGTATAAACTGGTATAGACAAGTATAAACCAGTATAGACCCATATAAATCAATGTAAACTGGTATAAACCAGTATAAACCAGTATAAACCAGTATAGACCAGTATGAACCAGTATTGGTTACTGGGCCACTCGCCCTCCTCGGGGCTGTAGTGAAGGATCTGAGAGAGGAAAACCAGTATGAACCAGTATAGACCAGTATAAACCAGTATGGACCAGTATAGACCCATATAAATCAATGTAAACTGGTATAAACCAGTATAAACCAGTATAAACCAGTACTGGTTACTGGGCCACTCGCTCTCCTCGGGGCTGTAGTGAAGGATCTGAGAGGGGAAAACCAGTATGAACCAGTATAAACCAGTATGGACCAGTATGAACCAGTATGAACCAGTATAAACTGGTATAGACAAGTATAAACCAATATAGACCCATATAAATCAATGTAAACTGGTAAAAACCAGTATAAACCAGTATAAACCAGTATAAACCAGTATAAACCAGTATTGGTTGCTGGGCCACTCGCCCTCCTCGGGGCTGTAGTGAAGGATCTGAGAGGGGAAAACCAGTATGAACCAGTATAGACCAGTATAAACCAGTATAAACCAAAATGGACCAGTATAGACCCATATAAATCGATATAAACCAGTATGGAACGCTATAAACCAGTATGGACCAGTACTGGTTGCTGGGCCACTCGCTCTCCTCAGGGCTGTAGTGAAGGATCTGAGAGGGGAAAACCAGTATGAACCAGTATAAACCAGTATGGACCA